GAGGGCAAAGAATGTACAAATGTGCTTTACACAATTGATGTATGTATGGATTGTGATGAGTCCTATGAGCCCCTAATAAAACGATTTAAAAAAAAGAAACCATTTTAGGATTACTCCTTAATAGAAATTTATGACATTATGTGATGTCAATGCTGTGTGTCAAATATAGCCGTATGTTTCAATTTATGCATGAAATTGCCTTTGGGTAAAAGGAATAAATTGCGGAAAATCTACAAACAAACAAACAAAAAGAAACAACTATGGAGCTATACTCTTTAGGAGCCCAACAGCAACAAGGTAACCAAAAACTCAGCGAAGAAAGCAGTCCTAGAAACCACAGCCCCATTTACCCGTGGACCAAGAAGAACTAGATGGTGCCCAGCTACAGCCAATAACTGCCCTGACTGTGATCAATGGATAGGCTGATCCTGGATAGGTTAGGAGAAAAATATGGAGAACTCGAGTTCTCATTGAAAAAGCAATAGTGGCAGCCAGACAAACTGGAAAAAGACAGAACAGAGGACTCCCTGAGACTGTTTTTAAACCTAGTATCCAAGCCTATCCTGAGGCGACCTTTTCATGAAATAGAGTGCTATACAAACTGGAGGCCATTACTCGTAAGATCACCGGTATGAGACCAAGAGGTCAAACGGACTCAATGGCAAAGATGAGATGACAAGGGGGTGGGGAATGGAAGTGGCAGGACGAGAGAGCACAATGGAAGAGAATGCTGAAAGACTGCAGCGAATGCAAACATGCCACTGACAACTTCTGTGGAAACTGTCAGAGGGAAACCCAATTGTATAAACTTCCACCCAAAACTCAGTTAAATGTTACTTTTAAGGGATAAAATTATAACAGTCGTAAAATGACAGCTATGTTTACCTAATAAAATTGTTTAATAAAAATAAGTACATCGTGTAATGTAAAACAGTGGTTGTGATAGTGTTCCGTGTCCATTTGGTGGGGCCAGGATCCTCAGCCGTTAGGCAGTTAACAGCTAGTCATCCTCCATGACGATGTAATCACAGCCAGTAACTTGGAAGAAGATTAGGGTGGGATACAACACCCCACTTCAGCTGAAAGCCCTGATGCGATAAACTGAAAGAATGTTCCTTTGTGGGCTGGCCTACTTCTAACATAAGCACACGCTGTGGAAAAGCTTGTTTGCTTTTTTGCTGGGCCGGATCCTTCATCTGACTTGTCGACCTCCAGTTCTTTAGACTTGAGCCAACAGCCTGTCGTGATTGCCTCCTGATCCTGGGGGTTTGACAGCGGCATACCATCTGACAACAGTTGGATTCATTTGCCTTTGTAGCCACCAGTCGGCAGTCTTCCTGCTGACCTTGGGTTCACCACCCTCTGCAGCTAGGTGAGTCAGTAGAAGCTTCCGGCCTTCTGATCCACGGACTGAGAACCTACCTTGACGTGGACTTGCTGACGTCTACCATTGTATGTATTTTCTTGATATAAATTTCTACAAATCCACATATGACTATCACTGGTATTCTTTAGTGAACCAAGCCTAAGACAGTGGTTAAATTGGTATTCATGTATGTGCAAATCTCCGATATCTGGCTTAATAGAGGTAGTTGAATTCTCATACTTGCTTCTTTATTCCAATATCTTGTGATATATTGTTTTGAAGCTTATCAAGAAAATACGGTTTCAAGCAAATACGTAGTTACAAAAGCAAGGAGTGTTTTAGTAGCTTTTTTCAGATAATTGTGGGTATTTTTCTTTGATACAGTACCAAAGCTTGACAAGTGGAGGTTTCTTAAAGGATATATGAAATCTAGAAGAAAAAGCTACTATAATGAACTTTTTTACTATTGCTTTAAAGTCCAGTGGTATGTCCTATGCTTTCATTAATCTTTTATTTATGCATTGTTTTGTAATTTATACATTGGCTATTTGGAAAACATGGTTCACTGAACTATGCGCATTATAGACAATATTAAAAATTCACGTTCTTAAAAAAAATAGATACTATTTCCTCCCAATACACTGGCAAAGATTAAAACAAAACAGAAAAATGATATAGAACAAGAATTGTTGGAGAGGGTATGAGAAAAGTAGGCCACTTATCCACCGTGAGTAGAATTGCCAAACAGTCGAACTGTCGTCCAAAACAGCACGGAGCTTCCTAAAAGAACTGAAACTAGAACTACTCAATGACCAAGCGCAATCCCAGTCCTAGGTATTGACCTCAAACACTTCAAAACAGATTTGTATACTAATGTATACCGCATCACTATTCAGAACCCAAAGGCAGAGTAACCTAAATGCCTATTAGCAAATGTGGTAGTTACACAATTTCATGTTGTGGTAGATATATAATCATTTGTCAATTTGAGGTGTAAGAGTGTAGGGGTGGAGTCTAGCCTGTCAATCAGATCATAGCCAATGAGGCTTCTGTATGGGCATGGCCTTCTCCTGAGAATTCTGGGAAATCCGGTATTACCTCCTTGGAGGTGGGAGACTCTGCACACACCCTGGGAGACATAGCAGCTGACAAGACACATGGACCCACCTTGATGCAGAGGCCCCTGCCGGCGCTGAGATGTTTACGCCACTGGATCCAAAGACTTTCTACCCACTGGCCTGTGATTATCCTGTATTCGGCGTCACTGCGCGTATTTCGTCAGTCTGAAGAGGACTTTATAGATTGGTATCGGACATATGGGCTAATACCAGACTTATGGACTTGATCTGGACTGGGCTGGGATGTTTTCTCAATGTTCAATTGCTCTTGTATATGAATCTCTTTCTTATACATATATGTGTGTCCATGGATTTGTTTCTCTCAGCTATAATGAACTTTTTTACTATTGCTTTAAAATCCAGTGGTATGTCCTATGCTTTCATTAATCTTTTATTTATGCATTGTTTTGTATGTGTCAACTAACACACATGTCAACTTGATAAAAGAATGAAAGGGTGGAATCTAGACTGTCAATCAGGTCAGACTGACTGATCCCTCTTTGTGGGAGTGGCCTTCTCATGAGCATTCTGGGAACTTCTTTCTCTCTGATTCTGCCATCAGAAGAGGTGGACCATAATCTCTCTCTGCTTCACATTCCTGTGGACAAGCCACACGGAATCACACTGATGGCAGCCAGAGCCCTGGAGATGCTTCCACTGCCATTGGATCCACAGGACTTTCCACCCACTGGCCTGTGATCTTCCTGCATTCAGCATCACTACATGTGCTATGTGAGTCTGAAGAAGAATTCATGGGCGAAAATCAGGTTTATGGGCTAATATCGAACTTATAGACTTGATCTGAACTGGGCTGGACTGTTTTTGTAATATACAATTACTCTTTGATATACAGGTCTCTCTTAAACAAATATGGACATCCCTAGATCTGTTTCTCTAGTCAACCCCGCCTAATACAACGAAAGACTGGATGAACAGCATGTGGTGCGAGAAATGAAGTATTGACGCTGTTGTTCTCTGCCACGGAGTCAGTTCTGACTCACAGCGACCCTGTGCTCAACAGAGTGACACTCTCCCGGTCTTGCGCGTCCTCACAGCCGTGCCCATTCTGAAGCCCATGGTGGCAGCCACTGTTTCAATCCATCTCCCGAGAGCCTTCCTCTTGTTCACGACTGCTCTATTTTGCCAAGCGCGATGTCCTTCTCCAGGGGTTGGCTTCTCCTGACCATATGTCCAAAGTGTGTGAGACAAAGTCTCACCAGCCTTCCCTCTAAGGAGCACTCTGGCCGTATTTCTTTCCAAGATCGGTTTGTCCTTTTGGCAGTCCGTGGTACTTTCTATCTTCTCCACCAGCACCACAGTTCAGATGCGTTGATTCGCCTTCAGTCTTCCTTATTTAATGTCCAATGTTCACAAGCTTATGAAGCCATGAAAATACTTATGAAATACTATGGTTTGGGTCAGGCAGACCTTAATCCTCAAAGTGACCGCCATGCTTTTCAACACTCTAAAGAGGTCTTGTGTGGATTAGAAGTCTCGATACATGTTCCAATATAGTCGGAGCTAAGTGAAATAAGTCAGTCACCAAAGGACAACTATTGTATGACCTCACTTAGATAAAAAGACAAGAAAGGCAACTGTAAGGAGGCCCGAGTTTGAATAAGAGGCAGAAAGGAAGAGGGTGGAGGGTGCTGCTTCTGGAGCACTGTGTTTCCGGTGACGTTGACAGGGCTGTCAAGCTGATTCTTGTTAAATGCTGCCGAAGAATTATTCACTGTAGAAACTTAAATGGGCAAAAGCTGTGGGACATGTATTTATAACAAAGACCAGAAATAATCAAGTAGCTGCTAAGGCTGCTTGTGTACAACCAAATATGGGATTTGATTCCTTGAGTTGGGAGTGTAGAAATGGGCTCAATATCATCTTTAGCACTTCTGTCCCACTTCCTAGATTGTTAAGTAGTTTCTGGGCCTTAGCACTTGCAAGTGGTACAATAATTGATCCCTATTAGCCTCCAGGCCAATAAAGAAGGGAGAGTCAGGAAGTGGATGTGGACAAATCGCCTCCATGGCTTCCTTTGCCTGGAGACCAGGAAACTCGATGGTGCTGGCCGCTATTACTAATAGTTCGATCCAAGAAGCCTGATCAAAAGGGGGAAACTGCAGAACAGAATTTCAAGTTCTCATGGACTCAAGACTTTCTGGGGCCACGGGGGCCAGATGAACCCCCAAAACTATTGCCCTACGTTAATCTTCAAACCTTAAACCCAAAGTATCCCTGGAGTCATCTTAAAACCAAACAAGAACTTGGCTTCACTAGTCAAGAAAGTCTTCCTTGAGCATGACGCTGCATTACAAACTGGAGGGGTCAAATTGAAAAGTGACCCAAAAGATGAGACAGGAACCAGAGGGGGCAGTGAGTCCATGCTAAAACCAGAGAGGGGCTGATGCCACTTGGGAAACAGAAGGGGGCTGAGAGTGGTCACACAACTCAAAGGCTGTCATCGATGTCTCTGAATTGTACAAGTGGAAACAACTGGATTGCATATGTTTTGTTGTGTATAGTCACAACAGCCACGAGAATTAAAAAAAAAAAATACAAGTGTCCTCCAAGGTGCCTCAGCTGAGGGGCAGGTCAGCAGGTTGGGTTTTGCAGCACCCACTCTGCACAATGCACAGAACCTCTAGATCCACCACCCTTCCAGAACCAACCCTGAAGAAGGCGGTACTCCCCCGTCCATTTTACTGATGAAGAAGCAGGAGCCGACATTCAGTGTGAGTCTGACTGATCCTGGAGAAGACGTGGTCTTCCTACCATGCCACCCAGCCTCCCCGAAGATCAAAGGACAGGGGAAAAGGGAGTGGCTAGCATAAGAACTGGTTCCCATGCCTGCAGCCTCTGCTATCCGTCACCTGGCAACGTCCATCTGCGAGCCTCACGCCAGGGAATTGGCCGGTCAAAAGCAGCAAACAAAGGAAGAGGAATGAGAATGCCACGGTGGTCAGCACTGGATGCGGGCAACCACACAGGTGGTTTTCAACCTGCTTCTATTTTCCTATCTTTTCTATAGCCAGCAAGTAATTCTTAAACACACACCCCCACCTCCACCCAGAGACACATGGTGCCACAGTCACCCAAACCTGACTCTGGGTTCAGCCTCTGGCCCCAGCAAGCCACAGCTTGTTCAGCCTGGGCATGAAGTATGTGCCAGCAGATATGGCCCAGGCTGCATGGTTAGTGAGCATGAGGCCCCTCCCCCTCCCCACCTCTCCTGCCTTTCTCCTCCGACCAGGAACCTCAGGTCAGACCGCCCCCTTTAGAAAGCAGTAACTCAGAGGCTCCCTGAGAGACAGTGACGAATCACAAGACCACAAGCAGCAGCCTCCAGCCCCGTCTACCTGCTGACAGAGCCATCCCCGGGCAGAGTCCCCGGCACAAGTGTGGGCGAAGTGCCGAGCAGTGGGAGTCAAGCCGGGCAAACCAGACCAAGTACCTCAATCAGCCATTTGTTTTGCACAAACTTCTGGAGCACTTGCTCAGCTTCCTTCTTCTTCATCTTCTTGCCTTTAAGTTGATCGACCAGATTCAAAATGTTTGTAGAAGACGCAAAGCCAGATTCGGAGTCAACAATCAGTTCCAACTGGAGAAAAGAGCGGGACCATGATCACCTGTCCAATCTACAGAAGCAACGTGAAGCAAGAGAGACGACAGGCTGACAGGGGTCCAGCCCAACTGGGGACACGCATCTCATAGGCAGAGGGGTGCACTGGGGCCCCTCCCCACCGCCGCCCCGTCAGCATAGTGATGCCATCAATGCAGGTGCCCAGTGCGTCTGACTCGGTGGCCAATCCTGTAACTCCATCCCAAAGGGTGGATCTTAATGTCCAACATTCAAGAAGGGTCACCTCATTTCTCTAGTTCCCAGCTCCACCTCCTTGAAAATGGGGGGATTGGAGAATAAAATGAGGCAGCACCTCTCTGTATGTCCCCAGGGGACACTGAGGCTGGCAGGAGTAGCAGGGTGGAATCAGGACAGGCAAACGAGAAGAGGAGAGAGTCAGCACCACGTTCTCCAGCCCAGGGGCAAGGGAGCAGGGAGGCAGCTCAGAGCCACTGAGGCACTGCAGACTCAGGGGCCCACAGGGGTTGGCAGACAAGCTGCCTAAAGCTCCTGCCCAAAGCAGGCCAGGAAGCCACAGGAGGATGGGTTTTCTGCACACGCACAGGTGGCCATCCTTGCTTTTGAGACCTGCTTCTCACGGAGAGCCACCAGGGAAGCTTCAGACATCTGGTTCCAAGGCCTCATCCTCAAGAGAGTCTGATGCCATAGATGTAGAATGAGTGAGGGCCAGACATTGGAACTATTTTAAACTCCTAGCTTAAACACATGAGCCCACGGCTGAGAGCCATGATCTTAGCCAAGTGCCCAGCCAGGTCCCAGCCAAGAGGCTCAGGATAAGTTCAAGAGCCTGGAAGGTCAGTGTGCCTCACTGTGAGCCTGCAGATATAGGGTCCCTTATCTGGGGAGGGGCCGGGATACTGCATTTCTAAGTGGGACGCGCCCAGGTGACGCGGACTGCTCCAGGGCGCACCCCAAGCCGCCAGGCAATGCAGCATCAACCACTACAAGGCCCGCAGTTGCGCACCCAACCAGGGGTGAGGCAGTAAAAGCCCTTCTTCTCTGCAGTCACAGTGGCCTCCCCAGAAATCGCCTGTAGCAGAGGCTGTGAATCCTGGGAAGTAAGATTTTTGACCCCCTTCTGAAACTGTCATGTCCATTTCAGGTGATGAAGATAGCAGTTTGCCATAAGAAGCCAGGCTGGTGGGCAAGGGGAGCGATGGTACTTACAGCCTTTCTAAAAAGGTCCAGTTCATTCTCTGCAAAATCCGATGCCATCTTGGAAACTGGAGTCGTTGCAAGATTCACCTGGAAGAGTCAGTCAGCATGAAAATGACTGCGAGGTAACCCATCTGAGGGGGTCCCCTTTCCCCCGCTTCCCCAACAGGCACTGTGCGCTCGTGGTCAGGCACGACAGGGGCAGGCGAAGGGGCACTCTCAAACGCATTGCCATCCCGGCAGAGCCGACTCAGAGCGGCCCGGCAGAATACGGCAGAACTGTCTCTGTGATCGCAGCCCAGAGCGGGTTTGTAATCAGTGTAACGGCATGACCCTGGCGCTCCAGCTCAGGAGCATGGCCGACTCTCTGAGATTCTAAAGCTCCACAGGTTGTGCTGTACTTTCCAGACGCACGCACGTTTGGGGACTTGTCTGCATGCTGACGGGCATTCTGAAGACAGGAGGTGCCGGAACATGGTAGCAAAGAAATTCCTTTATTTTTTCTCAGCATTTCCATAGTGACCACACAGCCCCTTCTCCGTAGAGGAGAAATTTCAGAAACTCTGGGCTAGAAGGTTATTTTCTGGACATGGACCTGGTTGGACACCGATGATGAGTGGGTGGGGCAACAACTTCCCAGGGGTCCACCCAATCTCCTAGGTCCTGGGACAAGCCCAAGGATGGTTCCCTAGCCAAGGGTGCCAAAAGGGGCCCCAATCCCTCATACATCTTTCTTCTCCGTTTCTACATGTTAGTCTAAATGAAAACTCGTTCTCTCCCTAATACTCCATATTATTGGGGCAACTTCTTTCAGAGGCCTATCAAAATCAAAGCCTCTCACACACGGGGTTTTCGGTGGGCAGGGCTGCTGTGTGCTGCAGTTCATGAGGTCCAAGATCGTGACAGCTACGTGACCCTGAACATGTCACATATTTTTCCAAGTCTTTATTTCTTCATGTGCTTAAGAAACCATGAGCCGGATTCTGAGAACCCTCGGGGCTGCTTGTCAGGCAGAGGGGTGGGCAAGAGAGAGAGAGAGAGAATGTGTGTGTGTGTGTCTGTCACAGGGGATCTGCTTTCAGTTTCTTTCCTCCCCACCTTCTGACTGCCAGAGTCGAGGCCGACTCAGCAACCCGACAGGACAGGAAAGAGCTGCCCCTGTGTGTTTCTGCTGAGACCATAACTCTTTACAGGAGTAGAAAGCCTCATCTTTCTCCCGCCTCCTCACCTCAGGCCCTGTGCTGCCTCACAAATGCCACCAGAGGGCTCTCTGTGTTGCACCTCACAGCCAGGGTGGATTCTGACTCACCGGGACCCTCAGGGCTGCAATCCAACTGCTGCCCCACAGCACTTCCAAGGCTGTAAATCTGCTATGGAAGCAGGACCGTGGGCTGCAGAGGAGCTGGGGGGCTGCTTGGCAGGCACTCACCAGAGCATAGATGGGTCTCCCATTATCTTCTGTGACTCCTTTCTTCACCTCGATGTACAGGGACTCCAAGACACTGTTGATGTTGTTGATGAAGTCCTCCAGCTTCTCGACAGTTGCGTTGCCTGCAAATGAGGAGCACAAACGGCTGAGGAGCTTCATCGAATCGAGGTTGCTTCTTTCAATCATCCCACCGGGCCTGGACACGTGACTTCAAAGCTAGATATGGGTGAAGACCCTGGCTCTCTTGGGAGAATACCATACTGTGTGGCCCCTTGCTTCCTCAGGCATTTGAACACAGGCAGAAGACGGGTGAGGGCCTTGAGACAGGCAGAAGACGAGGACCCCAAAAGGATACCTGAAAGCCTATGCCTGGTCGTCTGCTCCCAGTCGGCACCATCCCTGACCTTGCAGCATGCTCAGAGCCTGCAATGCACCCCACTGCCCTCAACGCCCCACGCCACCTCCGCCTCATGCCCTGCAAACCCTCACACACGTACTATGCATGTCTTTATTCCTTCCTCCCATCATCCTCCACAGCCTGCGGAGGACAAGGAAGCTGGTTACCACTGACTATGGTCATCAGCCTGAGGAAAAGCCACCCGACTCCATGCTGTGGGCACTCTGGTGCCTAGGGTCATTAGCAGTGGCAGGAACTGGCTGGGTGGAGGACCACAGATGCGGCTGGAGAGGAAAGCAGAAGCCAGAATGGCCCAGAGTCCTGCAGGCGAGGAGGGTGTGACCCTTCTCCTTGAGGTAGCAGGAACCTGTTGAGAGCTGGCCAGCTTTGCACCTGAGAAACACCCTTTTGACCTGCGTCATTTCTCAACCAAAAATATGTATTCACTGTTTTCACTGTTGTCATTTATGAAATTAATTAACTGGCTAGTTAATTTTCAATGGTTTAGAACAATCCCTCTGGGAAGGAAAGGGAAGAGAAACACAGACCAGAGGATATATTTCTGTTACAAACCGTTAAGAAACCCCAGAAGACCACCCTGCAGTTTTTCTCTAAGTATAAGCATATGCTGCTGTCAGTCTGACTCCTAGTGACCCTGTGTGCCAGAGAAGGAAACTGCCCGGTACAGCGACAGCCTCACAACTGTCCTTCATGGGCCATTAGTTCTGCCACGGTGTCAATCCCTGGAGTGAAGGCCTTCCTCTTTCTCTCTGCCCGCTCCTTTCCCGAGCACGCTGTCCTGCTCCAGAACCTGCCCTCTCCCGACAGCGCATCCAGAGCCAAGGCCTGGATGGAAGGTGGCTGGGGACCTGATGACCGGGCTCGTCACTAGGAAGGCACTAAGGGAGGGGCCGGCACAGGCAGACCGCTTGAGTGTCATCTACGTTGCTTGATTCTGACAGAGAGCAGTTCTTCTCTGTCCACCTGTGCACACAGTGACAGGTGAGAAAGCGCCAGCGGATCATGCTGGGGCAGTGGAGGGCACGGCAGTTAAAGGCGCCAGTTGCGACATATGTTTGTAAGACTATTCAAAAGGACGTGCCTGCCAGGGCCAGGAGAGGCTACTGACAACACAACAGTGACACCCACATGTAATGTACGGCAGGGAGCTGAACCTTTCTAAGTCAGACTGTGTCGGAGAAAAGGAAATGGCACAACTTAACTTAAAAAAATAATAGTCGTGATAAATAGAAGATACATGGTGACGTGGAACTGCAGAGGTAAAACGAGCAGAGTGAGTCGAGGCCACGCCTCTGCCTCCGAGCCTTTGTTCACGTGTCCTTTCTGTCTGAGACATGTGCCCACCCCCTTTCCCATTTCTGCCCACCAGTCACCAGAACACCAGCTCCAAGGGCACTGTTCACGAGTGCTTCTTCTCATTGCCCCACACCACAGAGATGCGTGAATGCTGTGGCCAGGAGCTTCCATACAAGCTTTGCCCGCAACCTTGAAGCGGGTCTCGTCTACCCCTCAACATGCCCAATTCTGGTAAGCAACCACTCCCAGAACCACCTGTGGACGGAACCTCCACCAGCATCCTCCACAGATCTGGGCCACCCACCTACCCGATACAACACAGTGGCAAGTCGCCCCTGCCTTCTCCAGTGACGATTCACACTTCCCCCCTAAAAAGGCCCTCTTGGGCTACCACTCAGAAAAACGTCTTCTGTGGGTTGATCAAACACCGGCGAACATGCCGGACTTTCCAAATGCCTTGTCTGCAGGGCGATGATCCAGCAACCACTTGGCCCATGAACTCGCCCCCTCCCACCTCTCTCTTGGTGTCTACACTCACTTTTCAAAAACATGTTTTCACTGTATTTCCACTTAAAATGAAAACAAAACGCCCTTCCTATTGCAGAAACCAACCACCCGTTCTGTTATTCGTGTTCTCGGGTCTTACCCTCCCTGTGTCAGGGGCACCACCACATCCTTCTCACAGCTGTCCCCATCCTGTAATCTCTCTCTCTCCCCCTGAGAATAGACTTCTCTACCCATCTACCCACACCCCAAAATATGACCACTTGTCAGCAGTCACAGAGGCAGCCTGGTGCCAGGTACCAGTTCCAGGCATGGGCTCCAGTCAGTAAATCTTACCCTGGCCTCTCAGACCCAGGGCAAACCTCTCCCCATGTCTCACATCTCTGAAGACCACAAACGCTCTGACCTTCAACCTCCCACATGCTTAGGACACTGCTCTCCAACCCTCCCACTCCTGGCTCCAGCCACCCGGCGCAGTGATCCTTGGAGCCTGCCGGTGGCTCTCTCTGACATGGGTCCCCCTTCACCCTGGGTTGGGTGAGTGCCCTTGCTCTGACCACCCTCCTCCACACATTCCTTTCCGGGTACCGGGTACTCTGGCTGACCCCTGCGGGAGTCATCTGGTAATGTCTGGCCACCCAGCATCCACTTTCCTCCCTAACAAGCCTTTTAAAAATAATAATAATAATAATTGCCTCTCTCCATTAGGTGTGGTTTCGGTGGGAGAATCATCCCAGGTGCCCATATGCAGAGAGCCAGAAAGCCCAAGCCTAGATTAGCCCCAAGTGGGCCAAGAACCCATGTCCCGCAGTCCAACCCTCTTCTCCACGTGAGCAAGGGGCAGAGGAGTGGGTGGAAGTGGCCCGCGCATGGCTTGCCACGGCAGAGGATGAGCTTGGCCATGAAGTGCTGCTAGGTTCTGGTTTCCGCCCACTCTCCAGCCTGACCCCAGGCCTTCCATAAGCTCTTCTCAACACCCACCCAACACATCGAGGCCACACCCACATCCCTCCTGTGCTGGGCACTGGAGTTCAGAGTCCCAAGGAGGGGCTCAGCCGATGAAGCTACAGAGTGCCCGGGCCGTGCCTGGTAGAAGACCCAGAGTGTGCTGGAGAAGGGCTGCTTCACAGCGGTGACACGGTGGGAGCTGGGACCAACCAGCAGGAGCTCTGGGGGCAGAGTGGGTCCTCGTCACCTCAAGGTCAGCAGAGGGACAGACTTTCTACTCCTGTCAAGAGTTACGTTCCTGGACACTCACTCGGGCGTGAACGTCCAACGGGTGCTGTGAGTCGGCACTGGCTGGATGGCAGTGAGTTTGGTTTGGTTTGGGGGGACCAGTGGGCAGCCATCACTCTCCCGGCAAAGGATGGCAATCCAGGCGGATGGCTCATGCCATCCGGTCCTGGAAGCAGCAGCAGCAGCACACTGCTGTAGAAGAAGCTGCGCCCAAGGCCAAAGGAAGGACAGCATTCTCTTCAGCAAGAAACGTCTTTCACTGGGGCCACCACAAACAGACTCTAAACAGGCTGGACAGCCTTAAACAAAATTGAGCCCATCTCTCTCCTCAGGAGGAGGAAATGGTTAGATTAACTTTGAGAGATGCTCCCCCCTCCCCTAGCTACCTCAACATATTTTTTCTCCCTTTCTCTTAAAATTAAAATTGTACTTTTGCCAGTGAACCTTTGATGCATGCAGGGATCCCTGGGCACTCAGAAAGGCAATCTGGAAGTCAGTGCCCTAGCCTCTAACCAATGAACAATTTTGTTCCAAGTTAAGCACCCCAAAGAGGAAATGCTATTTTAGTCAGAGGAAATAACAGCAAAGCACAAGACCCCAAGGGACTAAACCCACCACATGGAGCCCAACTTGCCCTCTGTGACAGCCCCCTCATTTGAGCTAAGGAAGGGACAGCTGATGCCCCGGATCTGGCACAGGTGCTGGGGCAGCAGACCCAGCTCTGAGAGAGCAGATCCCTGTGCTGGGGTCCAGGAAATGCTACAGGCAGAGCACTCACCCGGGAGTTGTGTGCTTAAACTAGCCGGGCAGCACTGGAGGGCGGGGAGCAGTCCCGGCAGCAGCAAACTCCCAACTCAGTGAGCAGGGAGGCTGTCGGTCCTCTGCGGCTACCACCAACCCAAGGCAAACCCAGCGCTCCGAGGGTTTCCATGGCTGATTCAATCCTCGGGGTGGATTCAAACCTCCAACCTTTCAGTTAGCAGCTGAGAATGCTAACCATTTGTACCACCCAGGGACTCTACTAAGGGGAACAGATTCTTGACTACCAGACTGTTTTTAAATTATTGCTCAAAGATCTATTTCACAGCATTCATTTTTTTAAAAATTGAGATGATCTCGGAAGTTTACACTTTGGTTTAATTTTTCCTACTTGGCACGTTTCCTGCATCTTGGCTGCATGCACTGTGGTAGTTACATAATCTGTAGTCAACTTGAGACTATTAAGAGTGAAGGGGTGTAGTTTAGCCTGTCAATCAAGTCACAGCTTGATGACCTACCTCATTTGGAGGCATGACGGAGACAAATGGCTTGCTGGAAGCGGGACACACGGACTCTCTACTTGGTCTCCCTGAGAGACATTCCTGTTGACGAGCCACAAGGAGAGACAATGATGGAGCCAGAGCCCTGGAGCTGGAGGAGCCACGTGGAGACCCACTGCCAGCACTGAGATGCTTCTACCACCACTGGATCCACCAGACTTTCCACCCACTGGCCTGTGATCTACCTGCATTCAGCATTACTGCATGGCTGCGTGATCCTAGAGAGGAATTTACGGACTAGTATTTGGGCATATGGGCTAATATTGGACTTATGGATTTGATCTGGACTGTTTCTCGATATACAATTACTCTTTATATAAAGCTCTTTCTTATACAGAGTTCATAAGTG